ATCTGATACCCAGAGTAGTTTTCCAGCACGATGGTGCCCCTGCACATTGTGCAAGGATTATCAACGATTACCTCAATGTCCAGTTCGGTGAGAAGTGGATGGGAAATCAAGGGCCCATACAATGGCCTGCCCGGTCACAAGACCTGACGCCCTTAGATTTTTTTCTTTGGGGTAGAATTAGAGACTTAATTTATAAAAATAATAATTTCAATAGCCGGGAAGAATTAGAAAGGGTGTTGCGAGGTGCGTTTAACCGAGTTCTAAATATACGACTCATTAATGCAGTTGATGCTGTTACCAAAAGATGTAGAATTTGCCTTCAACAAAATGGGGGACAATTTGAACATTTGCTGACATAATTCCATTACGTTTGTGTTTATGTTCATTCAATATCGTTGATTAAGTTCCATATAATTTTATGTCAGGATTTAGTGTTAGTGTAATATTGTTGGTTTGTTGTTGTTGTCCTTTGTATTTTAAATAATTATAAATTCATTATGATAACTATGAGTAATTTAATCATGAAACTTCAGATCTGTAGTTTTAATCATAACATGTTAGCATCCTATGTCATTTCATTAGTCAGGGCAATCTTGATTTCTGTATAGGCACAATATTTTAATTTTTAAATCGTAATGTTGCTGATGGTTTCTGAGATGAACATGACGAGTGATACACCAAAATTTAGGAAATTTCACGAGCTTCTCAAAAATATCATAATATATAGGGTGGTCCATTTAAAAAAACAGAGTTTGGGATGGTGCACAGCAATCTGAACGCCCTGTAGAAAAACTTCTCATCTCAATAGATTCTATGGAGAAAAGTGCTTTGAGAATGATTTCACCAAAATGAATTATCTTCATTAATAAGGAAGTTATGGGGCATTGAAGAAATCAACGAATTTCGAGAAAAGCCCTCTGGCGGCCAAACGATAAGAGATAGCAAAGTCTCGTTAGCGCCAGTGGTTTCCTTATTGAATTTAAGCACCGGACACCTAGGTTAATTTTTTTCCATCTCTTCAAATAAGGAGTGTTCCCATAAGAACGCATCCAGTTTGGGACACCCTGTACATCTCAAAAAGAACAACGGATATATTGAATAATACCCCAATATGTTTTAATAACAAATCCATTGAATATACAAATGTAACTAAATGTTTAGGTCTTTATATTGATGAACAATTATCGTGGACTCTAAATTTAGATCAATTGAGGAAAAAATTGAATCTTTTTGCTGGTATCATATATAAAATTCTAAATTTCAGTCCTGTTAGATACCTAAAGAGTATTTATTTCTGTCTTTTTCATTCAAATATACAATATCTAATATCTATTTGGGGAAGTACAAATATTTCACGTTTGAAGCCACTCATGAAATTACAAAATAAAACAATGAAGTGCATTTTCAAATAACCTTTTTTAAAATCAACTGTGAATCCATACAAACCTAGAGACTTGCTGAATCTAGTTTCATAACATAAACTCGAGATTTGTTGTTTTATTCATTTTGTCAGGAAGGAATTGAAAACATCGAGTTTGAATTTTAATGAAGTTAATACAAACAAGGCAATTTAATTTATTGATAGCAGATTTTGGTAAACAATCGATATTTCATAATGGAATAATTTTATATAACTCCTTACCCAATGGGTTGAAAAATATAGTAGCAGAAAAATTTGAAATCAAATTAAAGGATTATCTGCTCAGTAGACTTCAATTCCATATCTACTAATAGTACTAATCATTCACAATTTGATTGAGTACTTGTTATGGATTATAATATTTTCATTTTATGTTTTATTTTAATTTTCTTTATGAAAAACGATAATTGGGCAATTATTATAGTTTCGATTTATTATGTTATGTGTATGTTTTGTTGTATATATCCCCATTATAAACAATAATGTTTCTTGGGGTAATGAACACAATCAATCAAACTTCACACCTACCCAAATTTTCTTCCCTATGTACTGATAAATCAGATTATGGAAATTGAAAAGAAAAATTAAATCACTGATCGAAATTTTTCTCAACATGCAAACTATTCCATTTGTCGTGTAGTGGTGAACTCCCGTGTTTTTCGATTTACATAAATTTCGTATAAATTGGTAGTGCGCATGCGGTGTCCTCTGAAACTCTGGCGAACCTGCTTTTGAGTAAGGTCACGAAAAATCAACCCGAGTCAGTGATCGAGCTGGCAACACTCATGTTTCCGAACAGAGGTGTTTACTCGGTTTAGATAACCAAACTTTCAGGTTAGGGATCTGATCAGCCCGAGTAAGTCTCCGAAAACGCCCATAGGGACATGGGTCCACATTCCAGTTTCACAGAACTATAATGATTGGAATATATTGCCAGTGGTAAAAAAAGTGTAATATATACCTTGGTGTATGAATAACTATTGTTTTTTCTGAAGATGAGAAAATTTCAAAAACGTTTTGAGAAGACTTGAGAATTATTCCTTAATGATTCGATATTGTTTTGAAGGCCACAGGGGAAAAAGAGGGAATGTCACAAAAAGTAAGTTTTTGGAAGTTGAAAGAAACTGAAATCAAACCACCTGGATTTATTTGATGGAGTTTAATGAGCAATGGAGTTGAACAACTAGAAATAAATATCATATTTGAATGGAAAAATTATCGAAAACAAAAAATATAAGTCCGAAGATTCAAGGGAAAAATGAGGAATGTCCAAATGAATTGTCAAAAAACTGGATTGTTCACTCGCAATTGTCTGCTCTGGTACATTTCTCCATTCTTGCCTGAATACCTAATGAGCGGTAAGTTGTCATTTAGTAGGTACAGCTATCTCTATAATTTGATCATTTTCTATGAATCCTACGCGATATAAGTAGGAATCATCATATGGCAATCTCATTATTTCATTCCCATCACTCAGACGTACTCGACAAGCCCAGTCAACACACCTTTTTGTCGTCAACCTCGAAATATGTCGAACAACTCTTTACCAAATCTCGTTTTACATAGAACGACAAAGCTTTGGAATTTGTTGCCTAACAGAGAAGTCCCAAGAACTTTTCATCTCCAAAAGTTGAAAAAAATCCCAATAGCTACCTCCTCTCCCTTTCCTCCCTAGGTACCCACAATGTTTTCCGAACATTGTAGGGATTCCCTTTGGTACGCTCCAAGCGATGAAAAAGAGGTAGCCCTATTTCTTTTTTTTCTCTTATTTTGTTTGCCTGAGAGTTCACTTTGACCTTTTGACAGTGCACTAAACTTGGACGGTCCCCTTTCTTCACATTTTTGAAGTGGAACATTACGCGTTTTCTCCATGTGAACGTATAGTATATAGACAAAGTTAGACTGGAAAACGCGTGCGATGGCGGAGAAAATGGCCCCAAAAGACCAGAAAGATAGGGGTTTTCAGCCAATATCTCCTAGAATATGGCAGTTAGAGATTTTCGGTTCAGAAAAAATTGAAGTTCAGTTAATTTTCTACGAAAATGGTCCTTATCATTTTTCTCGAAAATTTGCCTGGTTTCGAGAAAAACGGCACGAAGCGCACCTCGAATAATGAGCTTCTGTGTTGTATGCCCGAGAGCACAGTCCGTGTATTTACACATCGGCGGGGGGACAAATTATTCAATAACTTTTTTGAAAATGCATATTTTCTCATGATTCAAAGTTTATGTGAATGAGGAATTCTGCTGCTATCATACCCTGTGAATTGAGTCACGCTTGACTCTTTTGGCCATATCGGAACATGGGTCAAACTTTCTGCTCCTGGTCAATTTTGACCTCGCCAGGAATTTGTTCCTATTTTTTTTGTATTGCACTAATTTACTCAAAATTCTCTTGATTATGGGTCCTCATAAGGTATTTAATCTTTGTTTATTGAATCCCAATTTTTTGCTGTTTTTGGAGCGCGGGGAAATTTTGTGAAAAACCATCAATTAAAAATGTATACATGATCCGATTGGTTTCTAAGATACATCATTTGAAAGCTAAGAAGGTCTACTTTTCGATGGTGCAATTACTTCGTTAGACGAAGTCGTCCATTCTTCAATAAAATTAGAAAAAGCGGGGTCAAGGAAAAAACGCACTTCTTTTCTCGGGTTTTTTTTTCTCCATGCTATTTATTTCTAACATTTTAACACCTCAACTAGTGTAACGGGGGAATTCCCACCTTTCCATCGATGTATATAAGTCATACCTTTGATATCCCGGGAAAAAACCAGTATATCTAAATGTACACGCTATAATTTATTACTTTTGTTTCTCCGTCGTTCGCCGCGTGTGTGCTCTACGTGGGGCTCGGGTCGTCTGCTACAAACCATGCGGCCACGCAGGGTATGATAGCAGCAGAATTCCTCTTTCACATGAACTTTGAATCATGAGATAATATGCATTTTTAACAAAGTTATTGAATAACTTGTCCCCCCGCCGATGTGTGAATACACGGACTGTCCTCTCCGGCATACAACACAGAAGCTCATTATTCGAAGTGCTCTTCGTGCCGTTTTTCTCGAAACCGGGCAAATTTTCGAGAAAAATGATTATGACCATTTATGTAGAAAATTAACTGAACTTCAATTTTTATCTGAACCGAAAATCTCTAACTGCCATATTTTAGGAGATATTGGCTGAAAACCTATTTTCCTGATCTTTTGGGGCCATTTTCTACGCCATCGCACGCGTTTTCCAGTCAAACTTTGTCTCATGTTTAATGAGGTACCAAAAGCTACTTCCAACCGGAAGATGAAAATAGTGCGTAATTAACGTTAACTTTGCCTTTTCTTCCTCCTTCATTTATTGGACTATTTAGTATTTTCGAACGAGCATAATAGCTGACTATGCTGCGTTATTGATATGGACGTCTGTTCATACTAAAATATAGTGGTTAGGCTATCAGATGTATCGGTGTCAAGTCAATTTCCACCATATTGTGACATTCCCCCTTTTTACCCTGTTATCTTCTTTGTTATGCCATATTCGAAGATACTATGAAATGATTAATGATAACATCATCTAATTATTTCAGTAATAACGTCGATAATGTCGCTGATCTGGGGCCTCCTGCTATGTGGCGCTCCGTGCGGATGCGGGGTCACTTCCCGGACCATTCCGTTCCTGACCTCCGGAGTTGCCCTTTCTTGCATTGCATGCCTTCTTGCCTGGGGCCTCGGCTCTCTAGCTCTCCTTATCGCCGGCCATGGCCAGACGATGATATGCGATCCTCTAGACGACTATCCCGGTTACGACGTATTGGGCGAGTTTGTGGATGCCAAGGGAATTCTGTATACAGAGGGATTACTGGAGGATTTCGTCGATGAGAATGATACGATTCGAATCGCTGAAGTGTTGAAGTAAGCATGATTTATCATTCTGAAGAATTATAAATGAAATATATGTGTTGGTTGGTGGAAATGATAACATAAATTTCGAATTGTACCCACTAAACATTTTTGTGATATTGTTGAAATAACATTGCGATATTGTCCTTCTGAACTATCCAACATATTATCATGAATGGAACGTTTATGAGACGTTGCATTTATATTGAAATCAATATTATCAAATTATATTGTAATGTAACGATTCTAGGTTGTTTAGATATTTCTCAGACACAGTTGTTATGTTATTTGTGCAACGTTTTCATTTCACCACCTTATAACGTAGCTTACATGTACACAGGATACAAGGGCATACTTTTTTTTCTACGGCAAAGTAACCTTGTCAATTGTCATAAGTCAATTCAATTTCTTTCCAGCAATTTCCTTTGTTGTTTATTATGGTGAACAGGTCAATCACTGTGATCAGTCGAAATATTTATTTTCAGCTATTATTCGTAGTTATCAAAGTAACTTAAAAACTAAACAAGTCTTGAACTGAAACAAATTCGGATGGAAATATGAATTACTCATGATACCTACTCAGATTCCAGGTTTGCTCTGCTAGAATATGGAAATGTAACTCATCTGTATCTGTATTCCATGATATGTGGAAAAGTAGGAAGGATTCATACCAACGGATTGTTACAAAAAAATGGGTGACTTGAATATCATAGCTAGAAGCAGAAAATGATCAGAATAAAATTTCAAAATTAGTCATGAAACTTCAAACCACTTGATTATTTTTCAGTCCTAAACCAGGTATGACTGGATTTATGAAGCAGAATAACAACTGGAGGATTTTATTTTTCATTTTTCATGTTCTCCTTTCGGATGTTCATCAGATATAATTCAATGTTCGACGTGGCAAATAGCCAGGAAAGTAGTTGTTTTCTGTTGAATATTCAGAATGATGTGTGCATATACATATTTTTGTCTGGAGGAGAATGCAAATTCTCAATTTCAGAGGATTTTATATTCTATATTTTCAAACTCTTATCGTGTGTGTTCAATAGATATAATTCAATGTTCTTCGTGGCACATAGCCGGGAAAGTAGTTGTTTTCTATTGAATAAACAGAAAAAGAGTTGATATTCTCATCACATAGAGAATGCGAATACTCAATGTATTGCTTTATATAAATATATTGTTATGATATCCAATATGTGATGTATATAAATGTGATGAAAACCTGCTATGAAATTCAATTTTTCCTGAGTGTATGCATTTTTAGTTTTGCCATTTCGGTCAGAGCAAATAGATTAAGTTTACTAGTCACAGCTCTATACTGATATTATTATTCTATTCAGTCTTGGTTAAATAGTGTAGGTATTTTGAAAAGAGCGCAAAATTATTATTTTCACATAAAGAAGAACATTCTGTAGAGGGATGTCAGACTGAAAAATACGATAAAAGATGACAGCGGTCAATAGTTTTGATTTTGAAACAAGAAGAAATATAAATTTTGAGAAGGAAACGAAAAGGAGGAATGTGTCTGATGAATTTGAAATCAATTGAGGTTTGGAAAAAATATTTGGAATAAAATTTGTGCTATAATGTAGTCAGTAGGGAAGCATTGTTATAAGAGGTATGTCAATAGTGAAATAGGAAAGGAAATCATGAATATGATTGGATAGTGGAACGAGAAAAAACGAGAGTAGAGTTTCCAGGAGATTTATTGAAAAAAAAAGAAAGAAAGGAGGGAAGAATTTGGAATTTTGGGATGGAGAGTTCAAAATTGATGATCGAAATTCATTGAAATAACAAGCAGCAGTTAAAAAATTACATATACCAAACATATTCAAGTGGTGAAACCAGAACATATAGAGGAAAGTTTTTGGAATAGTGTTTTCATCAAAAATGAGATTGAGTTTCCAAGAGTGAGCAGAGAGCAGACGCAGAGTTTCCTGATAAGAAACCCACATCACAAGTTTCTTACGTATTTGAAGATATCATCCAGGATCGAGGACTAGCAAAGTGAGTGCTATTATTGTTGAAAAGTTATCAATACTCCCGGAACTTTTTGTATTCAAACGCAGTTACACAATCAAGACATTCAAAATTGTGTTTATTTATCAAATTTTGGTATGAAATGAAAAGAACATTCTAGATACAGACTTTAACGATACTGAGGTTTTCGCTCATCTATTGATCAATTTTATGCAAATGAGCAGACATTAGATTTTATTAGATAACTTATAATTTGGACAATTCTGATTCAAATTTGATATAGAATATAAGTTAGTTTTCTCCCAGAGAATAGGTAGAATAAGTTTTGTGAGCATTTTCACAGAGATATTGTTTCCAAACGTTAATTTAATTTGAATAAAAAAATAACTGAACAATTCTCAGAAAACAATATTTCAATTTATTAATATATGATTATAACATAAAAAAAAAATATATCTGACATCAAGCAACGAGAAGGCCCAACTGCAACCCTCCTGAGGTTACGACGATCATCTCTACAAAGGAGTCGCCGATTGGATTAAAAAGGTAAAGCTAGAAAGGTAAATACTGCGGGAAAGAAATAGTTTTTCATAGTATATCACAAATCATAACAATTGGCGCCCAACGTGGGGCATTTGAGAGGCGATTTGAAAGTAAATATTCTGGAAAAAGGTTATTTCTATTTGAGTGATTGTGAGACAGAACTGTGATTGTTTGAGAGAGATCAAAGATTGAAAAGAGTAACTGTGAAAATGGATCTTAGAGACGGAAAGATAGTACCAAGGAGAGAAGGAGAGAGTGTAGAGTGTGGAGAGGAACAAAATCATGGTGATGGAGGAGATACAAGTGTTTCGCCAGTGTCACAGGAAAGTCAGGTACAAGAGGGGACAAGTATGGAACAGCAAATCCATAGGCTTATGAATTTTATTTCTATGAATATGGATGGAATGAAAGAAAGCATGAGAGAAAATATTCAGGAAGTGAAAGAGAATATGGGAAGAATGGAAGAAGGAATGAAAGAAAACATGGAAAAAATGGAAGAGAATATGAAAATAGGAATGAAAGAGCATTTAAAAGAAAACATGGAAAGATTAGAGGAGAATATGAGGAAAGAATTAGAACAGAACAAAAGAGAGATAGTGAATTCATGTAGAGTATTTGAGGAGAAAATTGAGAGACAGAATGCAGAATTTTATCAAAATATACAGGGTGAAATAGTTCAGATAAATAACAAAATGCAAGAAAATGACAAATTATGCAAGGACATAAGGGTAGAGTTGGAAGTGTCAAATCAAAGTACTTCATATGAAATGAATAAAATCAATCAGAGAGTTGAAGAATATAAAAATGTGTCAAATAATAAGATTTCTAATGTAGAGAATGCATTATTTATTATCAAAGAAAGTGGAATTACGAATGACAATGGGGAATATCAGAGAAAAATGTTAGAAATTGAGACAAAATTAAAAGAATTAGAACAAAACAGAGGTGACCAGAACTTACAGCATAGAATAATATCAAACATACATAATACACATACAAGTAATAAATTTGAAGGAAATATTCACAAACTGCATCCAATAATTTTTTTGAAGTCATTGAAAAACAAAACAAAACATATTAAGGATATTGAGGAATTGAAAGACATTATCAGAGATTATTTAACAAACCAACCTTTGGTATGGTTCAATAGCCAAGAGAGAAACATCCATAATTATGGGAATTTTGAAAACTTGTTCTTGAAACAATATTGGGGAAATAATGCTCAGTTATTATGTAGGGACAAACTTCAATTCGGAAAATTTGATGAACAGAGGAGTAATAATTATAATAATTATGCTATTCAATTGTATGCAATGGCACAACATTTAGACCCCAAGATGAATGAAGAAGAAATAGTAGGCAATATTAGTAAGCATTTTAGACATGAAATATTCGAAGTAATTTCAATGCATGAAATAAAAACAATGGATAGGCTAAGTGAATATTTGTTGAGATTAGAAAGAACAATGGCTTATAAAAATTGGGATAATGGCAATAATACCAATAATTATCAAAATTCAAGTTACAATAATTACAATAGGAATTTCAGAGAAACAAATAATCAAAATAATACTAGATTTCAACAAAATTATACACATTTTTCAGATAATAGGAATATCAATGATGATAATAACAGATTTAGGAATGTACAAAACAGTAATAATTACAACAGAAATAATTACAGAGACAATAACAATTTTTCAAGATATAACAACAATGACAGGTATCAATCAAAAAATTATCAGAATAGATCAAGATTCGATAATAGGAATCAAAACAGAAATCAAGAAATGAATAGAAATAATTATCAAACTCAAAATTCAAACAACAATCAACAAAATGGTCAACATAATGATGATTTTTTTTATAATCAGAGAAGAATGCCTGAATCTGGAATTCAGGGAAATAATAATAATTATAATAATGAAAGGTATAGGCAAGTATATTTTCAACGCAGATCAAGAAGTGTAGAAATACCAAATGACCAAGAAATAATTCGGGAATCAAATCAAACAAATTCTGCACAAGAACTTCCAGATAATGAGCAACAAAATTTTTTATAAGCAAACCATGCAAAAATAATGACATAATATATGAACATCCTGTAGAATTTATAACACTCAATGAAAATGGGGATAATGAACAGATGATTGGTTTAATAATATTAAAGGGAAAAATTGGGGACAAAGAAGTGAGGATATTAGCAGATACTGGATCAGAAGCAAGTCTGATAAAAGAAAGTAGCATATCAGATATTGTGGGAATTGAAAATAAAATAGTGAACATGCCTAAAACGAACTTCCCAGTGAACATGAGACATTTATGAAATATTTCAAGATTACCTGAAATGTTAATGATTGAAACATTTTTCAGGAACATTCCAGAGATATTTCAAAATCACTGTAACATTCCTGAAATATTTCAAAACAACTATAATTGATATATTCCGAAACATTTCGAAATTACTTGTGAAGTGAATGAAT